AGTCTTGCTTTGTCACCCAGGCTAGAGTGTAATGGCGCGATCTCAGCTAACTGCAACCTCCACCTCCCAGGTTCAAGCGATTCTCTTGCCTCAGCCTCCCGAGTAGCTGGGATTACAGGCACTCACCACCATGCCTGGCTGATTATTGTATTATTAGTAGAGACAGGGTTTCACTATGTTGGCCAAGCTGGTTTTGAACTCCTGATCTCAAGTGATCTGCCTGCCTTGGCCTCCCAAAGTGCTGGGATTACTGCCGTGAGCCAACAAGCCGGGCCCCAACCTGGATGTTACAGACAAGGATGTTACAAATTTCCCCTCCCCCAGTCCCTGAAAGCAAATCCCCGCCCCTCCACATCAAATCAGGCACAGCCTGTTGCACAAACTCCAAGGCCTTATGACACAATGGATGCAGGACACATGCCTGTGTACACACAGTCACAGATCCTCCATCTCACACCTACAAAGACCAGCACATCTGGCCGGGCGCAGTGGGTCACACCTGAAATCCCAACACTTTAGGAGGCAGAGGCAGAGGGATTATTTGAAGTCAGGAGGTCGAGACCATCCTGGGCAACATAGCAAAACCCTTTCTCTCCAAAACAACAAACAAACAAACAAAAAACCCAGCACATTTCACATGGACTCAGGCGCAGACAGACACAGGGAGGGGGGACTAGCTAGGAGTTCCTGGCAGGATGTCAATATCTGGGCTGTAGGGGTCCTGCCAGAGTCCTCCATGGTAATGATGCATGGAGTCCACCCAGTGGCTGTGGTCAGCCAGGGGAGTGCCAGAGGGGCACTGTTCTCCAGTTGTGGGACTGAGGGTCCCCTTCTCAGCCCTGATGAAGACTGGGTCCCTGCCCAGATGTGAAGGCTGGAGGGGGCAGGCCGGGGTCCAGCTGTGGCCACAGGGAGGGGTTGAGTCAGCCACTTCCCAGCAGTACAACCCAGGCTGGGCCCAGCTGTTCCTGGAAACCAGTAGGAGGGGGTGGGCTTCCCAATCCAGCTGGGGGCTGCTGGCTCAGACCTGCACACCAGGGTTCTATGTCCCTACAAATGGCGGCCTTCAGACCATCCCCTAAAACGTTGGGGGCTCTCTTTACCTAAAACGGGTTTGGATCCTTCTTCCAAAATATGGAAGGTTTTCAGCCCCTCTTGCTGAACTAAAGGTGCCTGGATCTCTGCACAGCAGGGTCCCTGTGTTTCAAAACAGAGATTGCTGCTCTCTTCCCTGCTGACATAGAAGCTCACTGCTTTTCCCCAAATGTGGGACTCCCTGCCGCCCCAAAATGGAGGGTTGTGCTCCTCCCCCAAATTGAGCACACCCAGACTTTTCCTTAAGTCTGGGGACTCCTGGCTCCCGGAACATCTGGGACGCCCACAACATCACGCCAACATTAGGACAATTTAAGTCAATTTCCCTAAATATTTGGATTTCCAGATTTCTCCTGAACATCAAAATCCCTGCGACCCCCGCCCTAATGTGGTGATCTCAGCATGTCCAGTCACCCATGCTTGTAACAGCTGTGGTTCCTGGCTCACCTCCAACTGCTACCTGGGAACGGGGTGGCCCTGTTTCCCTGTATTGGCAGCACCCTCGCCTCTGGTGAATGCGAGGTGGGGGAGCCAACAGCAGCTGTTCCCACGACCGCCGGAAGACAGCCCAGTCCGGAAGCCAGCGCTGCCGGCCCTTGTCCCCATCCCCCACTATCCTCTCCACCCGCTCCCAGGGGCTGGAGTCTGGAAAACCACGCGGGAGGAGGTTGTGGGGACGTGGACGAGCATCCGAGGTCCCCGGGTGCGTACGGCTGCGCATGAGTAGGCTGTAATCGGGTGTCTGGGGGTGAGTGACTACGTTCGTGCGATGCGCGCGGGGAGCAGCTGTCACTTTGCCCACCCTGCTCCGGGGCAAGGTAGCTGGCGCCAGGATCTTCTGGGTGGATGGGAGCAGCGCCCCTCCCCTCCCATCTGGGCCCGCCCCCAATGCAGAGCCCGCCCCTCCCTCCGGGTACAGCTAATAACCTCTAATTAGTGCACGTTACGCCTCCCGCCTATGGGGGAGGGGTTGCCCAGGGACCCTGGGGTCATAGGGCGCGAGCCTGGGCTTCACCCTTCCCCTCAAAACCGGGTCCACTCGGAACCTCTGTTTTCTCGCCGGCAAAACAAGGATTTAAAACAGCACTTGCCATCTAGTAGTCTACGTATTTAAATCGCTTAGCGCAGGGACTGCATACAGTAAGCACTCCATACATGGTGACTGCAATTTTATTGTTAACTATAATTGCCATTACTTTCCACTGAGCCCCCTCCACCGCCCCAGCGGGGGTCTCACGGCGGGCACAGTCTTCCCCCTAGGCCTAGTTCTGCGGTCTCCGCGCCCCCTGGTGGGCGCGGGCGTCGCGGCAGCTTCAGCCAAATCCTGGGTTCTGAGGTGCGGGGGGATGCCGAGCGCGCATCTGGGGAGGGGAAGGCGTGGGGAGAATATCGTGGAAGACGGATCCAGGCTGGGCAAGGGTGCCTGTCCATCAGCCAGGATATGTGTCTAGCTGACCTTTCCTCGACCTGGGACCATACCCGTGTTCCCTCATCTACTCCTGGGGTCAATAATGCGGGGAGGATCCCTTCATTTATTTATTTATTAAGACAGAGTCTCCCCTCCTGACGTCCAGGCTGGAGTGCAGTGGCGCGACCACGGCTCACTGCAGCGTTGACCTCCCGGGCTCAAGCGATCCTCCCACCCCAGCCTCTGGAGTAGCTGGGAATAGGCGCATGCCACCACGCCCAGCTACATTTATTTTTTATTTTATTTTTGTAGAGACGGAGTCTCGCTGTGTTGCCAGGGCTATTCTCAAACTCCTGGATTCAAGCAGTCCTCCCTCCTCGACCTCCCAAAGTGCTGGGATTACAGATGTGAACCATCGCGCCAGGCCTTTTTTTTTTTTTTTTTTTTGAGACGAAGTCTCGCTCTGTCACCCAGGCTGGAGTGCAGTGGCGCGATCTCGGCTCACT